AGGAGATATGATAGCCATGTATAAATATGTGAGAGGAAGCCACAGGGAGGAGGGAGCAAGCTTGTTTTCTGCTTCCCTGGAGACTAGGACGTGGAACAATGGCTTCAAACTGCAGAAAGGAGATTCCATCTGAACATGAGGAAGAACTTCCTGACTGTGAGAGCCGTTCAGCAGTGGAACTCCTCTGCTCCGGAGTGTGTTGGAGGCTCCTTCTTTGGAAGCTTTTAAACAGAGGCTGGATGGCCATCTGTCAGGGGTGATTTGAATGCAATATTCCTGCTTCTTCGCAGGGGGTTGGACTGGATGGCCCATGAGGTCTCTTCCAACTCTTTGATTCTATGAGTCACAATGAAAAGCTTTTGGTTTGATTCTATGATGGATATTACAGTTCAAGAGCACGTCTCCCATATGGCAGTCCCTACAGGAGGGAACAAAGAGACACATCTGCATTTGAGTGACTAACCATAGCTTGGTCTTGCCATTTCCCCTCTCTGTGTAGAAAGCTTCATTATGTGCAAAGAGACTTCTCAGCATGGGAGTGGTTCAGACTCACAAGGGCACAAACATTAAAGAAAGAAAACCAAAGTTTGAAGGAGCTAAATTACTGAGTCTGTTGTTAAAGTGGCTGTAATTCTTTTCCCAGGCTAGGGAGGAACTTTTTCCCAGTGGTTGAACATCACTTCTGGTCATCCTACTGTTCTACTTTCCATGCCTGAGTTCTTGCAGATAATTATGGCTATATTCAAAATAGCTTTGGGGACCTCGACTAACAGTTACTGGGGGGAAAGGTGGACTGTATCTGACAGTTTTTTCAGTACATTCTGGAGCATGTAATTTCTCAAGATTATGATGGGAATTATGTAGTCTCTTAATAGCTGACACACTTGTTTAATATCGTGGCATGATCTTTTGATCTTGTCTTATATATTCTGGGTAATTTCAATGCAGTGGTTCATTCATAATGATGGCATCAACATGCTGCTGTACACTGGACTATTCCTGGTGACTTACATTGGACAAGAAGGTATCCAGTGCCTCCTTATGCAGTGAATTAGTTAGGCTGCCCAATGACTAAGGGCAGCTCTGCTTTCCTAACCCAAAACACCTCTGATTAGTGAAGAGGTTGGACAGGATGGCCCTTGTGGTCTCTTCTAATTCTGTAATTCTATGATGTTGTGTTCTGTCATCCTGGCACCAGTTGGCAGTTGTTATTCTCCTGGCAGTGATCACCCTCTTGCAGCTTTGCCAACATCACATAGGCTCTCAGCCATGGCCATCTTCTGCTTACAGATACAATTAGTGTAATTGCACATACTCGTCTAAATACCCTGAATGCATAACCCCTTTTTTGTGCTTGGAAGGGACACCGCCAATGAATAACAGGTGCTTTACGATATATTTCAAAGGACGTAATGGGTGAAACCACCACAGAGTATTCCCTGCCAAAGAAAACCCTGAGAAAGTCATGGGGGTCTCTATAAGTTGTCAGACACTTTGAAGACATACACACACAGAGTCTAGGATTTGGGGGTGTCTAGTAGTCTTTTCCATGCAGACAGAAAATCTGTTTAGAACTTTCGTGCAATATAAGCTCTTGAATATAGTAAAAATATACTCTTTGAGTAATACCATTTCACACCTTGCTCACTCCAAAGATTTTTAGAAGCCACAGTTAACTTTTAAGGAGTGTAAGCATGACTCAATTGTGTACTATTAAGGATGTGTGTGAAAATAATCTTAATGAGTTCTAAAATGTATGAATGCATTGCATACCTATTGAACCTACAAAGATTGGTTAATTGTAGCAATTAAAGTAGCCCATTATGATTTGTATGGTATCAATTGTATTGTTAAAATCCATCAGCTGTATCAACACCTGTGATTGTGTTTGAGGTATCTCAGGAGAAGCCACAGCTTAACAGAATTTGCTGGTTAAAAAAATAATATTCTGATGTGGGTTTGCCATGTGTTCCACTAATATCAGTTAAACTTTGAAGGAAATTCACAATCTGCTCACCTCTGCTTCCTCTTCATCCTGGAGAGAAGTGACGAATGGAGTACTGCAGGGTTCCGTCCCGGGCCCCATCCTGTTCAACATCTTTATTAATGACTCAGATGAAGGGTTTGAAGGCATGATCATCAAGTTTGCAGATGACACCAAATTGGGAGGAATAGCTATTACTTGAGAAGACAGGAGCAAAATTCAAAACAATTTTAACAGATTAGAGAGATGGGCCAAAACTAACAAAATGAAGTTCAACAGTGACAAATGCAAGATACTCCACTTAGTTGCCCTCAGAATAAAGCACCTTCCCCCAGCCCTCTATAAAGGCCAAATCCCATTGCTCTCTTTCGGGACCCTCTTTTATAAATGCAGTTTTATCCCTATCTCGCCCAGGGTTTTAACCTTATAACATTTTACTTCATACATCTGGCCCACCCTCTGTGTTTCAGTTTTTTTAATGTTATTTTACATTGTTTCCTATATTTGTTATTTTATATATTTTATTATGATTTATTTTTTGTCTATCTTGTGTTTAATTATGTTGTGTTATTTTGGGCTTGTCCTCATGTTAGCCGCCCCGAGTCCCCTCTGGGGAGATGGTGGCGGGTTATAAATAAAGATGATGATGATGATGATGATTATTATTATTAGGCAGAAAAATGAAATGCAAAGATACAGAATAGGGGACACCTGGCTCGACAGCAGTATGTGTGAAAAAGATATTGGAGTCTTTATTAACAAGTTAAATAAGAGCCAACAATGTGATGCAGTGGCAAAAAGCCAATAGGCTTTTAGCCTTCATAAATAGGAGTCTAGTGTCTAGTTCCATAGAAGTAATGCCTACCCTTCTATTCTGCCATGGTCAGACCACACCTGGAAGTGTCCAATTCTGGGCACCGCAATTCGAGGGAGATGTTGACAAGCTGGAATGTGTCCAGAGGAGGGCAACTGAAATGATCGAGGATGTGGAGAACAAACCCTATGAGGAGCAGTTTAAATATCTGGGCATGTTTAGCCTTCAAAAGAGAAGGCTGAGAGGAGATATGATGGCCATGTATAAATATGTGAGGGGAAGTCATAGGGAGGAGGGAACAAACTTGTTTTCTGCTGTCCTGGAGACTAGCACGTGGAACAATGGCTTCAAACTATAGGAAAGGAGATTGCACATGAATGTGAGGAGGAAATTCCTAACTATGAGAGCTGTTCAGCAGTGGAATTTTCCCCCAGAGTATGATGGAGGCTCTTTCTTTGAATGCTTTTAAACAAAGGTTGGATGGCCATCTGTTGGGGGTGCTTTGAATGCAATTTTCCTACTTCTTGGCAGGGGGTTGGACTGGTGGCCCACGAGATCTCCTCCAGCTGTATGACTCTATGATTTGGAAAAAGGAAAATAAATGTAAAACCTAAATTGGCAGATCAATCCATTCCTACCAAACATTGTTTCTTCACATCTCAGTTATAAATGGATGCAGACATAGGTAGGTGCATGTGTAGATAGGTTTTAGATGTCACTAAGTACATTGGCAGATTAATTGGCATAGCCTTCTAGTGTTTCACCTAGATCTCCTATTGTTTGGTCAGAGTCTTGTTGCATCTGAAAGATCTAGAGAGCAATATGTTGAGAAAGTCTGACTTGAGTAATCCAGCTTAATTTCCACTTCGCCAATCAAGTGCTAACCCATCCTTCACATACAGTTGGCTAGTTTAGTATTTTACTGTTAAAGAAATCTAATCATAACTGATTATTTTTGCTAGCAGTAACCTTTGAAAATGACCTCCATAATCTTTACTCTTTGGATACCATGAGTTTACTTTCAGCCACTGATTGGTGAATTTGGGTGTATCTGCACTGTAGAATTAATTCAGTTTGACACCACTTTAATTGATGTGACACAATGCTTGGGAATTGTGTTAGTTGTAGTTCTATGAGGCCTTTAGCCTTCTCTGTCAAAGAGTACTGGTGCTTCACTAAACTACAAATCCTAGGATTCCATAGTTTCAAGTCCTGGCAGTTAAAGTGGTGTCAAACTGCATTATTTCTACCCTTATTGTTCCTTCAGAGTAGAGATGTTCAATGAGTCCTAAGCAATATCTAAATCCTCTTTAATGAGTGGGTAAATGTCCTGCTCTTCTGGGATGTGCTAACCACAGGAAATAAAGGACAACATGACAAATTACGCTTTGCTTGAAGCTACAGTAGTAAGTCATCTGTGACCCCATGAACAATATAAAATCCTAGCTCTTTTGGAAGAGTGTTGCTGATTGCATGCAAATATTGCCAGAAAAAGCTAATTTCCAGAAAAGTCTGGAAATTATCCTGCTAAATTCACACTCTGACCCAATGTTAGAGCAAAAATATCCAAACTATGATAAGTGAATAGGCTTGAGAGAACTCCATGTGAAGCTGAGAAAAAGCGTGCTGGTGTCTTAAATCTGCTGAATGAACGAAATCTCAGTGGAAAGCTGAGGCTAGCTATGGAGCAAATCAGAAAATGTTGGTAAAGCATCACGTTGGCTGAAGGTTGTGCGGTATATAAATGTCTAGACATCTTCTGTCAAGAAATGGTGATACTTTTTTTTTTTACTGCAGTTTGGATGTGATTGCATTGGGCTGCATTGTAGACATGGTTGCACCAGTTTCAGAGTTCCACCAGTTTCACCAGTTTCAGAAACTGTCAGTAAATATAAGAATATAAGAAAATATAAGAAAATTCTTGTCTCATCCAGTACAATTCTCCTACCCAGTATTAAAATTACGACTTAAAAAATCACACCTAATCCAGCAAAGATGTGCCACACGTGCAACTTCCTTGTTCACAGACTGTGAGCAGACAGTCTGAATCTATATCTCCCTCTGCATGGGGGCATCTGTTTGGAGGGCATGAGAGTACATATCCTCACTGGGACCAATACATCCTGAATGTGACTAGTTGCTTGTTACCCAAGCTAGATAGCAGCGCATATAAATCCAAGACATTTCATCTCTCTCTTTTAGGCACAATGTTCCGCAAGAAGAAGAAGAAACGCCCTGAAATCTCTGCCCCGCAGAACTTTGAGCATCGTGTACACACCTCATTTGATCCAAAGGAGGGGAAATTTATTGGCTTGCCTCCACAATGGCAGAATATTCTGGATACTCTGAAACGGCCGAAACCTGTTGTAGACCCTTCAAGGATTACTCGGGTGCAGCTTCAGCCTATGAAGGTGAGAAAAAAATATACTTAGATTTCTCAAAACAGTAACTGGTAACTGTCATTATTATGATAATGATGAATATGCAAACAAATGAAGAAATGTGGAGTATTGGGAAAACATTGCTGAGGAGAACTATCAAAAGTGTTTCAGTTGTAATTATTAACCATGAAGCTGTGGGCATTTTGGCTTTCCAGTGTATCCATGTTAATTTGTTCTAGGGACAAAGAACCTTCCTTAAAACATAGGAGTTGTGGCATGAGTTTTTATGGGCTAGAGTCCATTTCAACAGAAGCAAAGTATGCATTCTACTTGCATCATCAATTCTTCTGCAGTGTGTATGATCCATTCTTGTAGACCCAAATTGTGGTGGAATAGTTGAGGTCGCAGAATAGTTCTTAGGAAAGGATAGTGTTTTAGGAACAGGAACATCCTTTTTCAGTATTATAGCTGAATAAAGGACTGGCAGTACTAGCATTATGTCACTGCAGTTGAATCAAACAGTAGTTCCAGATGGTCGCTTCCTCCAATGACATGAGTACTGAGATAGAAACAGAGTGGGTGGAAGAGGTAATGGAAGAGGTGCAGCTTAGCTTTGAGTCTTGTCACTTATGACTATCTCACTGGGCTGGGAGTTTATTTCAGCTAGTTCTGTACCCTTGACCTGTTCCAATTTGTTAAGAACAATCCTAATTAATCACTTGTCATAAAACTCATACTTTCCCCATTAGCTTTTCAAATGTTCCCAGTTTTGCTTCCTTTCCCCTCTTTGCCCTCAGTGTTGTTCTGTTGGTTCAAACTGTGTTCAAAATTAACCATCTTTGATCCTATCCCAGGAGAAAAGTGGGGTATGAATTCAGTTAATCAAGCAGTCAATCAGTGTATTTAACTCAGCAGGGGAAGAGGGGAGGCAAAATCTTGCCCTTCCCAAGGGATCAGGCAAAAGCAAACTGCTGCAACCTCTCTTTGTGTTCTTCCTCAAAATATTGAAAAATTGACCTCATTTTGACATTACTGGCCACATGTGTCCTGGTTTTCATCTGTTTCCTCCCCCCTCCACATATATAGCAAGAAGATTAACCCATCTGCCGCTGTCACTTTCCCAAACCAGTCTATCTTTGACACAGCAAGTCAGCATGCTAATAAAAAGCAAATGAGCATGGCACAAACGTGTGCCTACACAAGTAGACTGATTTATGACCAGGGAAACTTTGAAACTTTGAACTTAGGGAAGGTGTGTTCTCAGAGCGGGAAAAACCCAGCTTCAGGCATCTTTCTCTAGTATAGGATACACTGTTGAGTAACTAAATGAAGTGTTTGCTAAGCCACACAAAAAACAGAGACATGTTAGCTGTAAGGGAAAATAATAAAAATTATATCAATGGTATGCCTTTATCAGACCCACCCAGAGTCACAAAATAGTGTGCAACCTTTCAAGTTTAGTTTCAGATATATTTATTAGATGGTCAATAGATGAATCATAGTTGGGATTTTAGGCATATGAGTAAAATGAGCCTGAGCTAAGGATCACTGTTAAGAATCTAAAATCACCACTTCTTGATGACAAGCCTGGACAAGTGGTTAACCTGCAAATGGAATCCCTGTTGAACAGGTTCCTTGGTGTGGTTTTAGATCACCATGTTCACTTGCATGCCAATAATAATAATAATAATAATAATAATAATAATAATTTATTTGTACCCTGCTCCATCTCCCACAGGGGGACTCAGGGTGACTTACATAAGGCCACGCCCATCAATACAATAAACAACAGTATTACACAAAAACATAAAATGCAAAAACCAATATTATAGACAACACAGCAATATAAAATCAAAACACAAGGAATTGACCTCATTTTGTCAAATGTTTGGAAGACCTTCTTTTTTGATCTTAGACATGCTTGTTAACCCCTGCTGTACATGGCTGGTATATTGTGTTCAATTTGATGGAGCACATGAGTTTCAGATGCCTGACATGAGTCCACCAAAAAATGTGTCCACCAAAAAATTCGTAACAAATCGGTGGAGTCAAGAAATAAATAAGTAATATTATATATGCCTAAAATCTATTTCCAGTAATTTTCAAGAAATAAATATTTTTAATAAAGGAATTATTTGGGGCATACCATTTTTTAGGCTCTAAAGACACAGTAGACCCGAATAGATGTGAAAGTTGGGTGTGACTCTTTCCACTAGAGGACATTTAATTACTTTTGGTGTAAACAAACCAACTGTTATAACAAAGACCAGACACAATTTCAACACTCTTGGTTTCCTCAGTGGCAAATATTGAAATCCAGTATTTTATATCTTCTAATTCTTCCTCCCAGTCAGAGCTGAAAGTATTAGTTTAAAAAACATCTGCGTAATAAGACTCAAATACACAAAGTCCCTAAACGGCCACAGTTCGATATTCAGCAAACACATTGGTGTAGAGTTGCTCACATAATAAGAATAGAAATGACTTTCATCTTCCCCATGTGTAGTCCAACACTGAAGCTCAAAGTTTCTCTTTATATGGCCTCCTACCCTGATATCAATTTTTATATTTATAAGGTTTGTGAGTCAGGTTGTGTCTTCCCTTCTTTTGTTGGGCTTCGCAAAGAAATGTGTGTCACTTCATGGCTACAGTATCAGTTAATGATATGGACTTATGAAAGAGCAATTACAGAGGAGATGTGCCACAAGGATGTTTCATATGACCAGAAAGCTCCCTCAGATCCTACATATTTTAGACAAGACAGTGCATTTATATTCTGCCCTTCTCACCATGAAGGGGATTCAGGGCAGAGCACAACATATACATGACAAGCATTCCATGCCGGAACATACAATAACTAAAAATATACATAAAATCAGATTATGTCTACTTTAAAATCAATTGTTTAAACCCTCTCAAACACCATGCTGGCTCTGGTCTGCAGAGTGGGTTTCCTATTATTGCCTTGTTACACGGTCCCAAAGGCTTGGTCCCACAGTCAGGTTTTTAACCATCTTTCTGAAGTCCGGAGGGAGGGGACTGATCTAATCTAGCCAGGAAGGAAGTTCCATAGCCAGTGGGCAATAACTGAGAAGGCCCTCTCTCTCCCATCCAATGTGCCTGTGACTGTGGTGGGACCAAGAGCAAGACCTCTCCAGAAGATCTTAGTCTTTGTGGTGGTTCATAAAGGGAAATGCGTTCGGCCACATTAAATGGGCCAGGGCTGTTTAGGGCTTTATAGGCCAAAGCTTATAAAGAGAAATTACACCATGAGGAATGAAGTGCACACATTCCTGCCTTTCTTGCAAGGTAAAACAGACTGAGAGTCACTTCCTTTTAATCAAAAGCTGACACCACTTGTGTCATTTCTAAAATTTCAATCTTAACATGTGGAAATTCCAACATGTAGCAGTATTTTTAGAAGGGACTTTTTAGATTCACTTCACTTCCTAAATAATGAAGTACTTCTGAAGCTCTAGGTGCTCTTACTGCCTATTTCAGAGAAAACCAGCTGATCCCCAACCCATCTAAAACACAGACATTTGCCTTTCATCTCAAGAACAGACAAGCATCCCGAGCTCTGAAGATCACCTGGGAAGGAATCCCACTGGAGCATTGCAGCGCACCCAAATACCTGGGAGTCACTCTGGACCGTGCTCTTACCTACAAGAAGCACTGCCTGAACATCAAGCAAAAAGTGGGTGCTAGAAACAATATCATACGAAAGCTGACTGGCACAATCTGGGGATCACAACCAGATACAGTGAAGACATCTGCCCTTGCGCTGTGCTACTCTGCTGCTGAGTATGCATGCCCAGTGTGGAACACATCTCACCACACTAAAGCAGTGGATGTGGCTCTTAATGAGACATGCCGCATTATCACAGGGTGCCTGCGCCCCACACCACTGGAAAAATTACACTGTCTAGCCGGTATTGCACCACCTGACATCCGCCGGGAAGTAGCAGCCAATAGTGAAAGGACCAAGGCAGAGACATCTCCAGCCCATCCCCTGTTTGGGTATCAGCCAGCACGTCAACGACTTAAATCTAGAAATAGTTTTCTAAGATCTACAGAGACACTCACTGGAACACCTCAGCAAGCGAGAGTCCAAAAGTGGCAGGCCCAAACCCAGAACCTCAACCAATGGCTGATACCCAATGAGAGACTCCCCCCTGGGCACACAGAAGACTGGGCGACCTGGAAGGCGCTGAACAGACTGCGCTCTGGCACCACGAGATGCAGAGCCAACCTTCAGAAATGGGGCTACAAAGTGGAATCCTCGACATGCGAGTGTGGAGAAGAGCAAACCACTGACCACCTGCTGCAATGCAACCTGAGCCCTGCCACATGCACAATGGAGGACCTCCTTGCAGCAACACCAGAGGCACTCCAAGTGGCCAGATACTTGTCAAAGGACATTTAATCAACTACCAAACTCACAAATTTTGTATTTTGTCTGTTTGTTTTGTTCTGTTAGAAATGTAATATAATTGACTGTGTTCTGACACGACAAATAAATAAACTTACTTAGGTGATCCCTCATTGTCTGAGTATGATGGCCTTCCAAGTTCTTGGAAGATGCCTGTATCCGATCAACACACAGTCTTCGCAGAGTGAGGGTCCCAACCAGTCCCAATCGCAGAGTTACGGTCCCAATCTGTTGCAGCCTTCTTCCGCCTTCACAGCCATTGTAACATGTACCATGTTATCTTCCACCTGATCTGCTGTTGAGGTTTTCAGATTGTGCTCTTTCTGGATCTCCCCTGTGCCCCCCCCCCCCCGAGTGCAATAATCTGGTGGTTACACCCACACATTCATTGGAACACCCAAGTCACCTCATCACAACAAGGTGACAATCCGTCGAGGAGAAAATAATGAAGTAGCTTTAGGCATATTAGTGAAACGGTTCTTGCCAGCAATGAAAAGTCTCTTAAGTCAGTTCTGCTCCAGGTTTCTAATGCAAGGTTTATTAAATGATTCAAGATAAATGAGCAAGGAAAGTGAGATGTTTCACCAGTGTCTGACTTTACTTGGATATAGTTGCTAAATAAGTTTAACACTTGCTTAAAAGCAAAGACAGCATTGTTGTACTGTAGAAATGATAGGATTGCTTTTGAAGCTGAAGCAAGGAGCAGTCCTCAACACAAGAAAGAAAGGGCCTGCTCAAGCTAATTCATATCTAAGACAGAGTTCTGACTGAAGGTTTTAGTGAGTGGAAAGGAAACATCTTGTCAAATAGGACCTTGTGACTTTTCATATATTTGACAGTGCTTAACGCTTTTATTACCCCACAGACATGGCTTTAACCTGCCTGCTAAATTTCTCTGATGTGTACTTTGATCAGGGATAGGCAACTTCAGCAAGAGCAGGGACCAGACTTACCTCTGCGAAATTTATCCTGGTCATGTAGCAGTGGCAAACCAAAAGTATATCTGAGTTAGAACAAAGCAGGCATGCCTTGTTTTCAAGGAGAATTGTATTTCAAAAGAAATTTTGTTTCTTTTCTGCTTTTGACAGACCTCCCCTGGAATAGTGTGTCCCATTCTAGTAGGGTATTGACAAGCTGGATGCATTCAGAAAAGGTCAGACAAGATGATCAAAGGTCAGGAAATGTTTGAGAAATGACTTTGGGAATTTTATATATTTAGTTTGGAAAAGGGAAGACTGAGAGGCCCGATGATAGCCATCTTTGAGCATCTAAAGCAAGCATAGGCAAACTTTGGCCCTCCAGGTGTTTTTGACTTCAACTCCCACAATTCCTAACAGCCAGTAGACTGTTAGGAAGAGTGGGAGTTGAAGTTCAAAATACCTGGAGGGCAGAAGTTTGCCCATGCCTGATCTAAAGGTATGTCATGTAGAATACAGAGGAAACTTGTTTTCTCTTGCCCCAAATAATAGACCAAGATTCCACCTAAAATTAGGAAGAACTTTCTTTGTTGTAAAAGCTGTTCAACCATGGAATGGAGTGCCTTGGAGCACAGTGGTCTCTATTTCTGTAGAGCTCTTAAACATTGAATATATGAGCACCTCTCAAAATCCTTTAGTGGTGTATTCCTGCATGGCAGGGAGTTGGACTAAATGACCTCTTCCAACTCTAAGTTCAATAATTCAGGGGAAGCTTTTTCTGATTGTGTTCCATGCTTCATGTGCACTTTATTTTCACTCAGAAATAAACTTTATTTTGCTGCTGCACAAGTTTGATAGTAGTGGCATCAAGGACTTTATGCAAAAATATGTATTGCCCATATGACTTAAGATTAAGATCAAATTGTACTCTGCTCATGTTACTATTATGGAAGAGAGTGTTTGGCAGGCATAAGGATACTTACAGAGACTGGGGTTAATACGTTGCTTTTGTAACACGGTCCTTTTTACATTTGCAGTTAGCAATGTGGTGGCCAGTTTAAACCTAGTTTGATGAGATCAGTTACACATGCCAAACCTTTGTGTATAATAGCCCCCGGTGTGCTTGTAGCCATTTCAGCTATGTACCTAGAAGCCTTTCATATTGCACCAACATAAATGCAATGTCTGCAATTGAATGGAATCTTTCTTTATGTCTCCGGTTTTCCATACGGAACTATGTTTCGTACTGAATTCTGAGCAGCATCTAATATGCTAGTTATCAAATTGAATGTGCCAGAGTTTCCTGCCATTTTATCAATTAGCTTACACACATGTGCGAATTGACTCAGATAGTGCATTACTTTAGCTGTTCTACCTTAAGTGACACATGTCGGGATCCATGTCTGTTTTCACTGCTGCAATTATTTCAGTATGTCTTTTATGGAAGTGCTCAGTTGTTAGCAAACAGAAGAAATTCTATTTCTCTCTAGGGAAAGATTTCTTTCATACTGGTTGGGAACTGTGCCAAGAGAATGCATAGGCATTGTATTGGGCCTCCCTGTGGAGAAATTGATGATGTTAGTTAATAGATTCTTCAGTTTTCCACTTCCTAAGTAAATGAACTGACTAAGCTGCATGGCAGATAAGTATAGCAGAGATAGCAGTCTGGGTTGGCCAACTTGTAGATATTGCCTATGATAATCAGCATAATCTTCACATGGCCCAAATATGATTTGGCTCAGAATGGGGCCTGGTTCCTACTGTGATTGAGTTTGTCTGTTGAGCTAACATGTTAGAACCTAAAGCTATTATTATCACAGACTTAGTGTTGCACATTATTTTCACCTCAGCATTTCAATGTATCCCTCAGCAAGGGGCAGCAGGAGACTGAACAAGACTGTAGACGGAATCCGGCATCTAGTTAAAAGTAAAGGCATAGGTCACAAGTGTATGTATTAGGTGTATGGCTTTTTGTTCTCATGTTTCGTGTGAGACAGATTTAGCAGCAACTTTGTATAATCCTGTTTTCAGGTAGGGCCAGACCTTTTTCAAAACAATCAGAAAGCTTTTCTAAATCTAAAGCTTCCAGTTGTGTTAGAATACAATTTCCATCATCCAGAAGAACATGCTGGGTGAGTTTAAGGATATTAGACATAAAGCAAAATGTGATTCTTTTTTAAAACCTGTAATTTAAGTGAGATGTAGATTCAATTATTTTGCATTTCAGTATTGTGGAAATGAGTATAGGCCAGGATCGGAAAGGTATAGCCTGAGGACCCTATATGATCCCCAAAACACTCTGCTCCTGGTTATTTTTCCACATCTGGAAGCCTTCAGGAGTATCAGTATTGTAGGCATACTCTACATTTCACAGATGAAAACTGGGATATGTAACCAAGCAACATCAGAGTCTAATCAAGATGTTGACAGTTAGTAATGAGGATGACACAAGGTATTGTCGAAGGCTTTCATGGCCAGAATCACTGGGTTGTTGTGAGTTTTCTGGGCTGTATGGCCATGTTCCAGAAAGTGTGAATGTTTCAGTTGGCCACCTTGATTAGTATTTAATGACCTAGCAGAAAGACAAAAGTTGAGAGATGCTACAGGAGTTTGCTTTTGCTTGCGTCTGTTGGGAAGAGCAAGATTCCTCCACCTGTTCTCTCTCTCCTTTCCCCCTCCCCCCACTTGATTGAGAGGAAACTGCTTTTGTGTTTTGAGTTCAGTTTGCAGCAAGAGGACAAAAGGGGGATAGTGTGAGGAGAGAAGAGAATCTAGGATCTTTTAAAGGCAGGTGAAAGATTGGGTTGGCAAATAATTAATCATACCTGTCCCTAACAAATCACAATAACTGCAGGTTTTTAAATCCCTACCATACCTACAAAAAAAACCCTGAGAAGTACCTAACTTCACATCAATTTCATATTCAATTTGTACTTTTCAAAGTTGTAACAACTAGTAGAACCATTGACTCATTGAGCATTTGGTAAGTTATCTCATTTGCAAGTTTCACTAATTCAGTGGGTCTATTCTGATTGGGACTAGGAATTGGATTCACTCTGTGTTGTAAACCCATGTTCCCATTTGCACAGAGAATCCCTATCTTAACTAGTGTTTGAACCTGAGGCGCTACAATACTAACTTTTCTTCTTCCCTTTGCCCTGATCTTCTTTCTCCTTGTCTTTTGTGGTAGAAGGTTGTGAGAGCCAGCACATTTGAAGTGGAAGGATATATCTCTGGGATACTGAATGATATCCAAAAGCTTTCCCTCATCAGCTCTAATACTCTGAGGGGGAAGAGCCCAACTAACAGAAGAAGAGCCCAATCATTGGGACTTCTTGGGGAAGATGAACCTACTGACATGTATCTACAGTGCCCTGAGCCAGACTGGACAGACAAATATGGAAACTACCTCAACTGCAATGGTGGATCCAAGTCATCTAGAAGGCAGACCTTGTGGCCAGATTATAAACCCATCATGGATGGACCGGCTCATTCCAATGGCCTTGTAATGAAAGCTCAGTCCCTTGGTCCATCGGAATTCCACAGCACAAATAGCCGATTTGTCCCACTTCCTTCAAGTTTTCATCACCAGCAATACATCCCAGTTCCTACAATAAACCAAGAAAATGCTGGAGGGAGAAGGAACTCAGAAGAGCGCCATCCTCCACCTTACCAGGGAGCCCCTGCTAATTCAAGGCCACCTGGGGAAGGCAGTCCTGGCTCCAAGTCGAGGGAAAACAGCTTAAAAAGAAGATTGTTACGAAGTATGTTCCCCTCATCCAGCACCACAAACAAAGCCGGAATCAACCAGCAGATAAAGGTATGTTTACTTGGTGCCCGAGTGGGGGCTTTCAAGCTTTAGAGTTTTACTTCTAAGTCCAATGCCATTTTGAAGGCAAATATGACTGTAGCTTCTGACAGATTAAGGCTAATATTAAGAGATTATGCTTGCATTGCAAAATATGAAGAAACTATTAGTCTAAACTGGCACTGGTGTTAAGTCACAAACACATCACGCACAGTAAGTGTGGGCATATCCTGTTGCCACACCTATATTGTTTCTCATAAGTAACCAACAAGGGAGCCAAAGCAAACAAACCAAAAAATTACATGTCTACAGTCACAGTAATCTGTGTCAGTATCAGTATGCATAGTGTCTGTTGTTTCTAGCCTGTCAGGTTTTGTCTGAAAATGTATGTTTCCAATGTGATTATTTGGAAATGCAACCTCCTCCCATGTCCTTTGTGAACAAAAGTTTCAGGTTTACCAAGGCTTAGAGGTGGGAATTCACAGTACATGCCTTTTTCCTTTCAAAATGGTTTTTTTTACTGCAAAATAGAAAAAGGTCAATGCCAGCACTTGAGAAAGTTAGATTTTTTTGGAATACAAACCCAAAAAGACACAAGCAGGAAGCATGGGCCATATCCCACTTGCCTGCTCACTAACTTACCTTCTCACTAACCAAGAGCACTTCTGTTTTGTTTGGATTAGGGTTTAGACATAGAATTAGTACTAAATAAAAAGTCTGGCAATTAAGTGGAAAATAGGGAAACATTAAGGTGTCATTAGCATGCTGGATCCGAAAATTCTAAATTACCTCTCCCAGTGGTTTCATGTAGATATTAAACAAGACAGGTGGCTCTGGCCCATGGTGAAAAGGTCAAACAGGATTTTCCCATTTCCATTTTTTTAACTTGCCCCTTCAAGAAGGACTTGAGATTACTGTTAAATAGTGTCTTCATCCCAGAGAAACAGCCCAGAGGGATTCTTTTGTTGTTGTGTGCATTCAAGTCATTTCTAATTTATGGGGATCCTAAGGCAAATATGTGCTGACATTTTCCTTAAAAGATTTGTTCAGAGGGTAATTGCCATTGCCTTCCTCAGGCTGAGAATGTGATCTGTGACTTTTCATGGCAGATGGAGATTTGAGCCCACTCCAGAGTTCTAGTCCAACGCCAAAATCACTATACTATGCTAGCTCTCTACCTAGAACAGTGGTTCTCAATCTGTAGGTCCCCAGGTGTTTTTGCCTACAATTCCCAGAAATCCCAGCTATTTGTCTAGCTCTTAGGATTTCTGGGAGTTGAAGGCCAAAACATCTAGGGACCCACAGGTTGAGAACCACTGACCTAGAAGGCTACCATGGTCAATAATACTAAAAGCCACTGAGAAGTCCTGAAAGACCAACAGATACATTCCCCCTGTTAAATTCCCTGCATAGGCAATCCAGTGAGGTGAAGAAACCATATCTGTTCTATAACCAGGCCTGAAGTCATATTGAAATAGATCTTCCGTATATAACCTTCCCATCCAAGAACAGTTGACCGGTGTTTACCGTTCTGTTCCAGGGAGCTCTTGTGCTTCACCAGAATTCCATAGAATGCAATTATGGTAGTTAAAGTGGAATCATTGCACTATCCCTGGCCCTATGATACTTTGTTGCACTAGCCCTTGCCCGCCCTTTCATAGCAGACCACGTCCACTTCGTAATTCTGTCCATTAGTATTTTTAATCCCTTCTGATGGAGTAACATTGAAACTGACTTTTAATTTTTTTGTGACTGTTTTAATAGGATTTCTGTTTATGTTTTATAAGGTTTAATTTTGTTGTATTTTTTTGTTTGGCAATTGAATGTTTTGCCCTATGTTGGAAACCACCCTGAGTCCTCTTGGGGAGATAGGGTGGTATATAAATAAATTATTGTTATTATTATTAAACTGTGTAGTGCAAAAGGGCCACATTTCCCCATCTCCCCCTTTAAATGAGCATTTTTTAACAATGAGGATGGAAAGTTATGTGAAGGAAAATGAGTTAAAGGATAGTGAGGCTAAAGATAACAAACAATGTGGCATAGCTGATAAATGTTTAGTTATAGAGTAAATCTAAAATCCTAAGGCCTGAGTTCAGATCCCAGCTAAGCCACAAACTTCAAACATTCTTATTCAGCTTAAACTTATCCGATACAGTTGTTGCAATAAGAGAAAGAGGAGTTACATCCTCATATTGGGGTTGAGTCTTTGGAAGAAGGGCAAGAGGCAAATGTAGTAAGTAGCATTATCTTTTCAAGTTGATACTGACACGATATTTTTATTGGTTCAACCTGTTGACTATAAAAACAATCCTTTTATTAGGCAAGATATAACACACACACTAAAATGGATGAAGCAGAACAAGGAGAGGAGGAAAAATGTCTGACTTGATGATGAGGTCACACGTTTAGATCTAGTTCTTAGTTCCAAGTAGCATCTCATTGAGTCAATGACAACTTATTAAGGGCGAGTCAACACTGGCTGCTAAATACAGGGCTGGAGGTGCCAGACGCACCCAGCTGAACCTGAGGCAGCACTTTGTTGGCACCTACACAGTCTAGCTGGGCTGAAATTGCATCAGTCTCACTGGACTGTCACTGTACCCTCTGTGTCACCACTACTGCTCCGTTAGCCACAGGTCTCCTTGCTATTGCGACCACCCTGTTCTGACATCTGCAGAGGTACCTGTATGATCAGCAAGAAGGAAGAGGGCAATCTTTGCCAAAAGTGAAGTAAAGTAGGCTTAACACTTAAAAATCTGCAATGCTCACCAGAAGTCAACAAACATCATGCTGACAGTTCAACGGGGAATTTAAGGCATGTCTAGATTTTCTTGCCCATTTAGATTTGCTCTAAGCCAACAATTATGTAAGCCTCATTAATATAATTCATAATTGTAGTTGGCATTAACAACTAGGTCAAGATGTCTGCATTGTCATCATTTGCTTTTAGATCTCAAGGCAAAAGTGGGATGAGGTAGGGAAAAGGAGGCAGACATAACATCTAAACCTATTTCAGTATATCTCATTCCCCTGGCCATCTATGGTTCAATATGATTTTATGCTTGTGCTTTTGGGGGGCTTATCATTAAAACAAAAGGAGTCTGTGATTTTGTGATGTGATTTTATATGTTTTTATGGTTTTTAACCTAGATTGATTTAATATAAATGTTGTTTAATACAGTTTTGATATTTGATATTTTAAGTTGTATTGAAATGCTTTTAGTTGTGAGCCACTTTGAGTCTTCGTATGGAGAGAAAAAGCGGGAGGTAATAAACATAATAATAATTATTAATATTACAGATTCATTATTATTATTATTATTATTATTATTATTATTATTATTATTTGTTTCTTATATGTCACTCCCTAGGCCTCGGGACAGAGTACAACATAGTTGAAATACACAGACAAAAATATAAAGCTATTCAAAACACATGGATTAAAACACATAGACATACGATTGAAACATACATTAAAATAATTCATATCAATTAAATGTTGATTTAAAATTCATAATTTAAAATTGACTGTGTAGCCCTGCTAGATGAGAGAGGTATATAATTTTGTTTAAATTCTGACACCCTGTTTAGGTGCTGAATCTCTTCCGACATGTCATGCCCCAGTCAAAAGGCAGCTAATGAAAAGGTCCTCTGAGTGGCAGTGGCCAGTTGAGTTCTGCCTGGTAAACATCTGCCAGAGGGCCTATGTTTATGGGGCAATCCTATAGGCAACCTGGGCCCAAAGTATATGGGGCTTTAAAGCTAATAACCAATATTTTGTACTTTGCAATGAAACTCATTAGCGTAAGAACGGTGCAAGAACATCCAGTATTCCTTGGTATTCATTTCTTGTACCAAACAAAAATAAGTGTAAACACTAATAATAGGCTTTACAAATCTTTAAACAAAATATTTATGAATATCCATATCTAACTGAAATAAGTGTAAATAATTTGGTTGAAATGTATTAAGAAGCAACGATAATGAAAGAATAAAATTATTTTAAAAATGAAACTAATTGGCAACCAATGGTTTTAATATACAGTAAGTGTGATATGCTGACTCCTGGATTTACCTGTTACCAATCTGGTTTTGAACTAATTGGAATTCCTGAGCTTGATACAGAATAGAGCCCAATGTACAGCACATTGCAATAGTGCAACCTTGAACTTAGTATCTTTAGGTCTTCTGATTCTAGGAAGGGCACAACCGGTGTATCAGTCAAGGACTAGGAAGGATACTTTCCAGACTCTTGGAATGTTAACCAGTTTCTTAATGACTAACAAAGTTTATTCTAAGATAGCTAAGAGGAAGAAATCCAGTTGGATGCCCATCATATCCAACTGACCCAAAATGTGTTTGCAAATGACATTTTGTTGGAGCACAAAAGTGGTACACCAGATAGGCTGCAGTCTATGGCTTCCTGACCAGTGTTTCTGTTGATGCTGCCCAACTGGCCCTCTGCCATCTCCAAGCACTTGCAGGGTTCACCAGTAGCTTATTCCATATTCATCCTTTCATTTAAGAAGAAAGGGCTCACAAATGTATTTGCTTCAAGAAGAGTGTAACTATTTAAATTGTTTAATGATTTGACCCTTTTTAGGTCAACAAAGCATAGTACACCAAAGAAGAAAGAAAAGGAAAGTAGTTTCAAAGGAGGGAAATTGATGGTTACAGATACATTGACTTGGGAATGAGTTGTTGTGGATAAATGTATGTCCAGTTAGACATGTGTGTGGTTGTTAGTTTTTTTTCTCCCCTTTAAAAAAAACCTGGTACATAGGAGATGTGTTGGGTACACGAGCTAATATTTAAAAGGACAAGTGTCGAGAACAGCATTTCTTAACCTGGGGGTCGGGACCCCTGGTGGGGCTTCAAAGGGGTCACCAAAGTCCATCAGAAAACACATATTTCTAATGGTCTTAGGTGCCCTTTTGGCTGAGAAGGCTGAAGATCTCTCCACCTGACCTTCTCTTCCTTTTTGGAAAACAGATTGCTTATCTCCCACC